GGCTGCATTAAAACTACTTCATTGAAGTGGCACTGAGAAGTAACATTTTAAGGAGGCTGCAACATACATTTTTCTCCCAATATAGTAGTCGTCCTAAATATACCACCTTTCCTGTCAACTCCATCTTCCTACGGAATCTTGTCTTGCTCTTTAATGACTATCCACTGTTTATCATGATTAAAAAAGACAACTGAAAACATGCAGTAACTGAGATGAGCGGGTTAAGCACAAAACAGATGGAAGTACTTTTTCTTTACATATTTAAATAATACACATCTTGCGCTGCAGGACACTGTCAAGACTAGGAATATGAACATTCCCACAGAGAATCCAGCAATAATCCACTTCTGAACCTCCAGACGGACCACAGACTTATCCACCCATCCAGACTGTAACATCCCCACTCAAGCGGCAAGAATTGCAGGAGTCAGACTTAAAAGCCTTGCTAAGGTCAAAGGAAGGCACCCACTGCTCTTCCCCTCCCTCAAAGGCAGCAATCAGATTAGTCAGACATGGTTCACCCCTGGTAAATCCATAGCAACTGTCCCCAGGCATCACCATTCCCCTTGTGCAGCAGCACTCCTAGAAGGGAAGCACAAGCAACAACCCCTCCCAAGCCTCTCGTCTCCATGAAACCAGTCATGTAATTAATACAGGACAGACCTCCCTCTGTTAACTTCTGTAGGAAGCAGATCGCTAACACAAATTCATTTCGGCAGCTATACGTTCATTTGTGGCCATGGCAGCACAAACCATACACGTCCTTAAGAAGTAAGGCCATGGGAAATAGGAAAATGTTAAAAAGAAGGACCCGTATTTGTGCATTCCACAAGTGGGGTCATTCTCAGAGAGTGACACCCTACAGTAACGACTACCAAGCCTCCTGTATTTGTGCATTCCACAACTGGGGTCATTCTCAACCAGAGAGTGACATCCTACAGTAACGACTACCAAGCCTCCTACTCCCCCCCAGCAGTTACCAGTACTTAAAGGTGGCTAAAGTGTAGGGAGGGTTTTGCCTTTCAGTTCTACCTGTTGGAGAATCCCAATGGTGTATTCCAGATGCAGCCCTCAGCAGATCTGTGTCCTACATTTGTACCTCACTTGCACATGTGCACTAGGACTTAAGAGCTGCGATTCCCAAGGCCACTAAGTCCCCAATTTTGCATATGCCTGGAAAAATCAGTGACCGTTAACAGGAAAGTTTGTTACTCGGGGAGTTTATGAAACATCTCCCTTGGGAAAGGCCGCAGTCACAAACAAAGGCACAAAACCCCCTTAACTCAAGAACTGTTTCCTGACCTCAGACAATGCTTTTCACCTAGAAGCTTTCCCAAGGATGAAATCAGTAAACTGTAGAAGAGAACAGTGGGATTTATGATCAGCGCAGCAACTTAGATAACCAACAAGAGCTATGGTGCACCAGGAAAAACACTCTTTTTGATAACAAAAATCCCCAAGTTTCACTTCTTCCACTGTTTCTTTTCATGGCTAAATTCCATTGCCATGTGGGCCACCTAGGGAATGAAATGCAAGGAGAAGCCATCTAATTAGCTAAGGCAACTGCCTTCTGTAGCCTGCTCTCCTTGGCTATGACAACTGAAACCTTTGGGCATCGACACAGATGTTTAGAAAGGGGACAGTAGGGAAGGGATGTAAAAAGCAGGAAAGCTTTTCTGCTAATGGTGGACTCTCCATCCACATAAACCAGCCCTCCAGAGACCCTTACCGGAGATCCAGACCAGCTTCTTTCCACAGTATGTCCATCAAACGCAGAATCTGGAGGGTCAGCATGTCCTGTCGGAGATCTGTAACGGCAGGTTGAAACTGCTACTTCACTTTCTCAGTGTGCTGTAGGCGAACTTCCTAAGGTTTATATGGCCTTCAGACAACGGTACCCAAAACTGCCTGCAGGCTGAAGTGGGGCTAACCATAACCACATCGCCATGACTGATGATGTCTGTACTTTGAAACCCCGCCAGAAGCAGGTGCTTCACTTGTTTACCAGCGTCAGAGCAAACCACGTCCAGATTACAGCCGTACAGGGCCACACAGCCCAAGTGTGGAAGTGAGGAAGGGAAAGGATGAAGTTCACATTTTTAGCACTGCTTACCGTCACCGTTTTTGAAGATGATCCCTACGTGATCCCCTCCAAACATTTTATTGTTGTATACTATCCACAGAGGCTTCATTTTAGAATCCATGTATCTACATTTCTCAACGCTAGAAGAGAACACAGCAAAAGTTTTAGTCAAATCAGAATAGTTCCACTGAAAAGCTGTAAACATTGTTCAAAACACAACAGGAGACTCAGACACCCAGTCTGGAAGTACTTACAGGTTACCTCTGCTTCCACTCTGCTACAGAACGGCAGATAGGATGTACCAGACACCGTGACTGCCATCCACATATCTAACGCCTAAATTAAGCGCCCGCGTTTTCAGCAAAAAGAGTTTTCTTTGCATCCTTTCCCATCGGTTTTCAGACTTTATATTCAAGTGCTGTTAGAAGCTGTAACGGCTGATGTGTTTACTGTTATAAACAGAAGCCAGGAATGCAGTCTGACTCCCTTTTAGGCTGACATTTAAATGTGCTGAGCCCTGGTAACACACTGACAAAGAGTATGAAGTTTCATGGCAGATCACAGCACTCCTCCACCTTAACGGATACCTCACCCTTACGATTCCCAGCAGACCCTCCCTCAGTGCAGAAGAGGTTCCTCCTGACAGCCCATCTGCTGAACAATACAGCCAAAGGAAACTGAAGTGCCTGTGTGCTTCTGCCTTACCCTTTCCGTGCAAAAGCACGGTGACATTTTATTTACTCTTTCTTCACTTACTGTAGTTCTGCAAGTATAACAGAAGGATTCAGGGGAGACTGGAGGTCAGAAAGTGCTTCTCTGTAGGCATTCTGTTTCAAACACGTATGCATTGCATCTTTTCCTTTTGCTTTGCTTTGCTTCATGGCATTCAGCTTAATTAGACTGTTTAAAGTCTTCATCTTATTAAGGGCTTCCACCTGAAAGAGATATTTTGGCTTTAAAAGTTATCCTTCTGATTCTATACAAATTAAAATGCAAAATCCCATTTCAAAACAAAACAAAGTATTATTCTACAATTTTTTAGAAGTGGAAGTAATAGATGGCAATTAAGGCAGCATTCCCAAAAAAAAGGTAAGAACAACTTTTCTAAGTCGCTCATGTCCCAGAAATCCCATTTTCCTAAGGAACAAAGACAGTGATGGGACGAAAGCTCTGAAGTGTCGAGTCCCTTTTTAAAGCATGACTTAACACTTCCAAAACCTCAACAGTGGAATTTCAATGCACGATACATCTACACAAATTCCATCTTCAACACACACTCGTCGTCTGCTCATCCAAAGCGGCGCCAAAGCCCGTCACACAGGTGCCTCTGTCCACGCCGAAGGCAGCAGAGCGCTTCCCCCTTCCAGCAGAACCAAACGCCACCCCAGGCGAGCTCAGGGTGCAGACACTCCGCTGCGTGCCGTGCGGTACGGCCGCGCCGCGATACATCTACACAAATTCCATCTTCAACACACACTCGTCGTCTGCTCATCCAAAGCGGCGCCAAAGCCCGTCACACAGGTGCCTCTGTCCACGCCGAAGGCAGCAGAGCGCTTCCCCCTTCCAGCAGAACCAAACGCCACCCCAGGCGAGCTCAGGGTGCAGACACTCCGCTGCGTGCCGTGCGGTACGGCCGCGCCGCTGCTTCCCGCGGCAGCAGAGCGCTTCGCCCTTCCAGCAAAACCACACGCCACCCGAGGCGAGCTCAGGGTGCAGACACCCCGCTGCGTGCCGTGCCGTGCGGTACGGCCGCGCCGCTGCTTCCCGACCATTTTCACACACAGAACCACACACCCTTAACTCTTACGGGGGGCAGTAGGAACGGTTTGGAAAAAAATGAAGACAGGCATAAGGTCAAGGGCTCTAATCAATTAAGGTGTTCCCAATCGCAGTATCTCACCCAAGCAATATCGCTACCTTAAAAAGGTGTACAAATGCAAGGCAATTATTGCCACCAATGCACACAGGTTTAGCCCTCTGTACTCTCCCCTAGCTCTGGAAAGTTTTCTACTGGTACGTAGCTTCTAAGAAAACAAGTAAACTAGTGGCGTAGGTGTACGTAACGCTCAGGGAGACAAGCGCTTTAGTGACAACCTAGAGAGCACGTACAGCATGTGCAATTTCAACACTGCACCTAGCAACAAGTTAGCCAGATACAAAGCAGCCGCTGGGACAATTGCCCTTCTTTGCACCAGCCACGGCTAGCACGCTCGGTACTACACATTCCCAGCACACAGCAGCGCTGCAACAATCAGAAACGTGGATTTCTATACAAGGAAGCTTCAGCCTAAGGTACACCGTGCCGAGTCAAAGCCTACCCCTCCTACCGCCAGGATGCTGCGGAACTGTATGCAGTTTGATTACAGAGCCCAGGCAGCAGGGACCTGCCGGGTCAGCCATCTGTCAAAACCAAAAGTGCTCTGCTTTGCCACTATTCTAGGAGCTGTACAAACATCGGCGACAAGGGAACAAAATGGAACCTGCCTTGTACAAACAGGAACATTTTGAAGTATTTCTCGTTTGAATTTCTTCCGTGTTTGCACAGTTGGGAATTTTTTTGCCCCTTCTTTGATTGTACTGACATTTGTTTCCTGTGAAGTGCACAAAAACTTCACTGACCTTAGGTCTATTGCTTACAGCACTTCATCACCTACTTTGTTCATGATTTGACAACACTAACAAGCACGCAGGCGTACGAGACTCTTTTCAACGCCCTGTGAGCCGAAGAGCACACCAGCACATGCCAGTTCCCCGTGTCTCCCACAGCAAAGATTCAACATATGCAGCATCGGAACCGTGAGGAATGACACCTGTCAGACAAGAACCTACTGAGTTAGCCTTTGTGGCCTGATACAGCAAATGCATTAATTTCAGAGAGAATTTTCCAAAGATTTTTATGGCCAGAATCTAAACGAACTTGCTAAAAACGCATTAGAGACTTCAAACACAACGTGTCTCAATGATCTGCTGACACATTTAATAGCGTACCTAAAAGCAAACCTCTCGCTCTTATTAGGCTATTTTAAAGCAAATGTTTGCTGGTTTTTCTTTGTTTTGTAAAGGGCACATCTCTATTAACACCAAAATGAGTATTTGGTTTACTTCAACACCTGTTTCCAGGGAGTACTACATGATGGTACAACTTCAGGGGCTTTTGCATCGCCTTCCAACAGAAGCCAAAGCAGCAGGAAGTAGTCTGGGAATGATCTAGACAAAGCTTAGACAGAAAGGTAATAGTGGCTATTGAACAAGATACCTGACTGGGGAAAAGAAGTCAGAAGCTTCTAACACACGGAACCCCCGCAAGTGAGTAATGTCCAGAACATGTGCGCACTGCTGCGTGTTTCTCACGTCTCGGAACACTGTAAAAGCAGCTCCCTGCCGCTGAAGCCCCACAGCACTAGCTGCCTGCTGTGTCAGGGAACACTGCTCCACCATCCAGCTGCTTAGCCCTTTTTTATTTCTCTGCCTCGCCCGTGCGTCCTTCCCTTCCCCGCTCCCCAACAGGCGGGCTTCGTCAAGGTAACCAGTGCGGCCCACAGCAGGAACGGAACAGGTATCCGAGTTAGAGGCGAGGGTAAGTCAAGGTTTAAAGCAGAAGAGCACTCGGTACCTGTTTAGCAAGCACTTTCATATGAGCAACGCTTCCCCGGCAGTAAGCTTCAAGTATCAAACCGAACTGTACTGAAACGGCAGGTATGTGAACCTCTGACCTGCAAGAAGAAAAGCTGCTCGTCAGACCACGGCACTTATGGATTAGCATGCTTCAAGTCATCAACATCAACACCACCACACACCAAAACACCTCACAGTCACGTAGATAAGCCAAAAGGCAGGTTTCCTGAGAAGGAACAGGGTGCTCATGTGCTGAAGACTGTGAGGGCTGCCTGGTGTCGAGGCATGCCCCTTGTGTGAATAGCCAGGACTGTTCTGGAGGCAGCAGTGTTAAGAGACCGCAACTGGTTATTTGTTTTCAGGAACCTCTAGTGCTGACAAGTCATAGAAGATCATATTGACAATCAGGGCTGATATTAAACCATGTGTTCTCAAATCTTTGTAAGGGAAAAAGCAAAGTTTTCCTGAGGGGAACACTTTGGAACAAGCCACTGGACCTTATACCACAGCCAATTATCCTCCAACACATTTTCATGTAATCCTTGCTCTTTTTATTCAGAAATACTCTAACAGATTGTACTTCAAAGACAGAACCAACCTACAGTCTGTTCTGCAAGGATTCTGCCATGCATGGACCTGGCCACCAGAAGCATCAACTGCACACAGAACTGCTTCATTCCCTGTTAAACTCTCAACAATAACATAAATTTTTCCCAGCCCTGAGGTATAAATATTGTACTTTTACTGCACACACAGCCACAACAAACACTGAGGTTATGTACAATCCTAACTTACCAGACAGAGCTGAATGCAGTTTGGAATACTGTCACCAAGCAGCAGGTTACAAACCACTGCAATATGATTTTAATTATAGGCTTGCTCTGATCTATAAACGTCAAAGGTAAAGAAGCATAAGGAGGACTTGTAGGGGACTATGAGGCTCATGTAGAACAACTCTCAAGAAATGCTGTTGGAAAGACCATTCAGGCTCAACAGTTTCAGAGGGACGTAAGGGAAAAGCTCCTACCTTAGATGCCAAAACAACATCTGTCCTATTCTCCTATTAGCGAGCGCCCGCTCCAGCAGAAACCTGGAGAGCGCACAGTCAAGAAAGGGTTCGTACTTCAGGACTTGCACAAGCTGAAGAAGATACTGAGAGAGCTCTTCATCACTGGAATGAGGTACGTAAAAAGTTAGTGACAGAGCAACTACATTAATGACATTCCTGAAATTGAAACGTATGACAAATCCAATGATGACAGGTTTGTAGCAATAGCAGGAAGTGTCCCCCAATTTTTCAGTCACATGGAGAAGGACAGTAATACACAACAGTGCAACTGCCAGACTGACCAATTGATCAGGAAGCTGCCCCTCAAACAGCATCTTACAGCCCTCAAAGCAAGTGAAAACCTGGGTTCCATCCTGGGAAGATCTCAGATAGGGTAAGTATCCAGACAACTAACTACTTCAGTCCCCATCAGGCATTGGCTCCCTTTGACCACAACCTCTGACTGAGGAGCTGGACCTTTGGGACCACATGAAGGACCACTGTAACCCAGCAGTTAGCTGCAGCGGGCACAGACAAGAACTGAGGATAACTGCGTATGCCTGCCAACGGCACTCGGCTTACACGGAAGGAGGGGAAGAGTATCCACCCTACTGAAAGCACCCAACTTCAGAGCCAGAACTAGTAATACTGAAATAATTCCAGATGTAACAGTTCAGTATTATTAGGACAGCTCAACAGCTATTTTGCTTGTTTGCATTTGAAAGAAGTCAAAATATTCTTTTTTTTTTTCCCCAAAAAGTCTAGCCTTGACCATTAAAAAACTGATCAAACTGTTCACCACAGAGAACTCAGAATTCAAGGACAGGAAACATGCAGTAAGGTTGCAAATGATGCCAACCAAATCCTGCCCTCGGTTACAATGAAGAGCAAAATCATAAGTCATAAAGGAAGAACTGCAGACAGCGAAGGCTACTGTGCAGAACAAACACGAGTAAGTCCCTGGCTTTTTAGTACAGGGCATGGCTTACATTTCTCTCAAATGACAGGGTCACTAGCAGGCCCGGAGCGCAAGGTGGCTGCACAGCAGTTCTTACAGTATTTGACTACTGCGGTATTTTCTCCCTTTGTTACTATGATGTTCTCACACTGTCTTGCTCCCCTTTTGTCCAAGCAAGGGGTGAACACGCAGCCCTCTCTGGGACAAAGGTGCACTGGTGCTCTCTTAGCAACATACAAAATAATCATCCTTGAATCCAAGATGTCAGAATAAGGTGGTTTTATTCAGCTGCAAACGTGCTTATCTAGACTGCTTTATCTGGCCCATCTATTCATGGCAGGAAATGTGTTTAAATCTTTCCTCTTTGGGTTCTTTTTTTCCTAAAAAAGGAACAGAATGCAGTTTTTCACCCCAGAAATCCTTGCATGCTCAAGTAATCCAATATACTCACCTCATTTGCTTTAAACAACCCACTGCATATTCTCTGACGTACTGGTCTGGATAATTGAAATCCAGCAACTCCAATGCTTCTCTGGGCAGCAGCTTGGGCCATATCTGAAGGAGAGCCTGAAGCTGTTTTGAAACAAGAGCACTATCAGGTTACAGGTAAAGGAACTACTTCAGAAAACAGATGGGTGTAACTGCCCATAACAACATTCCTACTAACAGAGGGAGGTTACAGACTGGTGTGGAGGAGAAAAAGGGGGGGCAGAGAAAGAGAAATAACTCTGGGAGAACAGGCCCACTTCTGACTAGGCTTCTTACCCTTTAAAATGATCCAGGGATGGGGGGTTGGTGGGTTTTTTTTTTTCCCCCTCAGGTCTCATTTACACTTTGTCTGAAAAATCTGCTTCTTCACAGACAGACACAATGCACGGTAAACAAAAATTAGGTAACCACAGGTATGTATGCTTTAGAAAGACTTTCAATTAGATTTAGGCAATGGTTTGTAAACGTTCTCCTACATACATAAACGTTTTGGTAATGGTAAAAGTTTTCCACTAAAAAAATTAAAATAAAAAAAGTTTATATTGAGAGATCTGTACCAAGAATATCTGTCCACCTCAACGGATGGAGCCTTTTCCCACATGCACTGCGAGTAGTAATTCAGGTCGTATATGAAAAAAACCAAAAACATCCCAGTACTGAAGACAACGATGTGCCAGAAAGAATTACAGAAAACACTAGTGCATTATTTTGGACAACCAAGAACACCTAGAGGTCTTGTAAAATAAACTGGGTTTACTGCATTTTAATGAAGCTACTTGCTGAGAATGTATTTTTAATGACACATATATAGTTGTATAACTGGAACAGTACACGACTGCTTGAAATAAAAAGGCTGAATGTGTAAGTCAGTGTATGAGCAGCACAAGATTTCTCCTCTCTGTAGGAACAAGTCACAACTCATGAAAAAAATGAGCCTTTCCTATCAATGAGATAACACAGGTATTTTGTATGTAAATAGCAACTTGTAAAATCCAAATGATTAGGAAGATCGCTTCCTCCTGATGGAGCAATCCTTGTACACCTACAGTGAAAACATGTCTGTCTCTACTGTGTGTCACAGTTTGACAAACAGGGATGAGTTCAGTCTCAGCCTGCAGTAGAGAGGCAGGTTCCTAACACTAAACACCACGGGGCCAGACTCTGAACTGGTTCATCTGGGCAGCTTTGGGAAATGCAGAAGGCAAGACCTGAGCACAGATCCATCACAGTGCAAAGCCAGCGCCCATACTAGCATTTCATGGGGAAACACTGGCACGAATACGTACAAGATTCATAATGATATAAAGTAAATTTAAAGGTGTTTTAAACATAGGGGTCCTAACTTGACATAAACATACATGCAAAACCTACTCAGCCCATAGCCCAGTACAGTTAACCTGACGTAGGGACTGGTGGTGAGCTACAGCAGCCAACACTTACGTATAATGCACAGTCGTACTCAAATTCTGACAGAAATACTAACACTGGGCAGATATTTCATACCATAAAGCAGATGTTCAAAATGCATTTAAGGATAAGATCTCGCTTTTCAGCTAGACTATTCCTGAAAAAAAAAAAAATATAAACCACAGTACTGTCTGCACATAAGCAAACAAAAACTGCATTCCTTCCAGGAAGCGCACAGTAACGAGCAAGATGACTACGCAGGTTCGCCAACTCTTGAAATATAATCTTTACACATATTCTTTAATGTTCCCAAATTTAAAGGACTTGGAGCTGTCAACTAATACTCATACTCCAAGTACCTTTCTAAAACTCTGCTACCCAAGGCCTTGTTTCCAAGCCCTACCAAGCAATCAGAATGCCTTTTCCTTCACATAGGTCCATGAGTACGTGTTTAAATTTACAGGTTTAAATTGAAAGTGGGGAGGTTTAGATTAGATATCAGGAAGAAGTTCTTCACAGAGAGGGTGGTGAGGCACTGGAACAGGTTGCCCAGATGTGGATGCCCCATCCCTGGAAGTGTTCAAGGCCAGGCTGGATGAGGCTTGGAGCAACCTGGTCTAGTGGAAGGTGTCCCTGCCCATGGCAGGGGGGTTGGAACTGGATGGTGTTTAAGGTCCCTTCCAACCTAAACCATTCTGTGATTCTATGAGTAAACAAGTATCTGCTTATACTGCTACAACTTTTATACAAAGCATTATATTTCAGACCTTGATTTACAAATATAATCCGTTTTTTTGTTGTGGGGTTTGTTGGTTTGGTTTTTTTAAGAAGTTCTCACTGTTTTGGTGGTCAAGTACCGGCCCATGTTGCCCAGAGAGACTGTGCAGTCAGTCTCCATCAGTGGAGATCGACAAAACCCAGCTGGACACAGTCCTGCTCTAGCTGACAACGCTTGAGCACAGGGTTTGGACTACATGATCTCAAGAGGTCCCTCCTGCCCTAAACAATTCTGTGAAATTCCTCATATTTAAGATCAAAGTTGAGCACAAGATTTTCCAATTAGCCTCTATAAATAATCGCTGTGCTCTTCTCACCATTCACAGGACCTCTGAAACACATTTTGGGGTTTGTTTTTGCAAGACGCTAAGTCCTTGCTTATGTGTCCAGGCCACAGAAGGTAGCCATTTCAGAAGTCTGTGCTGGGGAAAGGACCCCGACTTGTTCGTGATTTGTCTCCCCCATCACTGCCGTTTCTCTTACCTGAGCGACATCTTCAAGTTTGTTCCATTTTAAAGAAAGCAGCAGCTTTGGCAATGATTGTGGGAAATTTTCACGACAGTCATATCGCAAAGTCCAAATAAGATCCATTTCATTTTCACAGAGTTGAGATAAAGGATCTCTTTCCATTATTTCTTTGAGCACAACGTAAAACTTCTTACCACCCCGACCCTGGAAAACGAGAAGTGCATCATGTTTTGATATATCCATTCTTACATTTTAGCTCAAATATCAGATATCCTACACTAGAAGTACATGAAATAGAACTCAGGAAACAGATGAATGGCTACTATGCGTTTCTTCTGGATTTCAGACCTCTGAAGCTTCAGAACTGTAACTAACAAATTCAAAATCGGGGGAAAGAAGTTTCTGAAAAAGTAACTAAGCTTCAGCACTAATGACGCTAGATGGCAGCATTTCTATTTTCCAACTCCAACACGGAGAACTTTCCTTTTGTGATGCATATACTTTCTCCTTTTGTTTTTCAAAGGAGCTAATTTGATAGATGTACATATAATTTTCTTTAATTAAAAGCCAAAAAAACCCACTTTTCCAACAGTAACCAAAGGGAAGGACATTTGCTAGGCATACAAACACATATTTTTGTCTTTAACCCAAACTTGTCATTTCCTGGCATTTTGCTCCATTTCAGATCTCTGAAACATTAACATCAGTGGTGATTCTGTCCACCAGTTCGCAGGAATGAGTTTCCATACTGGCTCAGTTAATACCTTACGTCCCCAGCCATGGCCTTATGCAAACTGGGAAAGACTAAAGCAAGGATGTCAGCAACAGTAGCATTCCATAAATTAATGGGAGACAAACGGAATTGCTGCTTCTGGGTAAGGAGGTACCAGCTGAAGGGAACAAAGTAGCTTTAATCCATATTTTGAGAAACAACATGGCAAGCTTTAAATATCAAAGCCAACTTTACCTTGGCAGAGCCCAAGTTCCTACGCGGTTTTAAGAGGCAGGCCAGAGCCAGACACATTAACAGGAGAAAAACCAACCCAGGAGGGAAGCTCAGAAGAAATGGCAGGCCAAATCAATTAGGATTCATGGCAGAAACAAACAGCTCATTAAATAACTTTCTGCACAAGTGTCCCACCAAGGAAGAGACACGCCCGCTGCACACAGAACTTCAGTTCAGCTCCTTCTAGAAACGGCAAGTGCCTGAGCCTCATATTGGGCTGAAATGTTTGAAGTACGTATTTTCATGTTAAAATACCACCTAAGTATGAATTCTTCAGGAGGGAACAGACTTCAAAAAGCCAGTTGATTTGTAATGCATGTTTAGTGAAACTAAGTACCTACTCTCTTTCTCAGCCTAAGCAAACAGCTGACAATAAGGTGATTCCTGTATCTGAAAACGCCAATCTTTTCACACCGCTGTCACGGCAGCACGCTGCTATTCAACGTGTCCAATTATTTGTACACTAAGCTGTTTGCACCTAAAGCAGCAGCCAGTCTTCACTTTTCCTGAGCACTTCCGGCACTTGGTACTGTACCTGACATTTTCCAATTAACTGCTTTACTCCTACAGAAAAGGCAGTTACTACTGTTGTCTGACTGTGCTTTCACTCTCTTAAACTGCAGTCTTCTCTACTTTTGCATACAATACAAAGAAACGCCTCCAGATTTTGATCTTTTCAGAATTTGTCCTCCAGTTAAAACAATCCAATTCCTCAAGAAAAGCACATAATCATCGTATTTAAGAAACATCATCTTATCGACCAATGACCAATAAAATTGGACAAGAAAAGCACATAATCATCATATTTAAGAAACATTATCTTATCGACCAATGACCAATAAAAGAGCTTATTTGGAAACATCTGACAATCAAGCTTCATACTCGCCAAAACTGGGCGATTTTCCAACAATATTTTATGCAGCCTAGGAATGTTTTCCATATAGACATCTTAATTGTGTTACAAATCCACATAGCATGTAAAGCAATTATGTTTTTAGACAAAAAACAGCCAAGAAGTCCAAAATATATTGGGAAAAGTGGATATATATCTGAATTTTAAGGCAATTCAAAGTGAATTACATAAGAAAACAGTAAGGAGAACTGTTGTGATTTGAGCTTCTGTATTTCTAGGTTGATGTAGAAGATAAAAACCAAAAAACCCAAGAAAATTAATTTCAAAATAGCCTTTAGCAGATTCTTACCGCCATTGCAGCATTATCACTGCTTCTTGCAATCTCAGCTGCCTTTTCAAGTATCTGCAAAAAGATAGTTTTAAATACATTAGATTTCAAACCAAATGTGACTGCACTGAAAGAACAAGTATTATAGAAATGAAAAAGAAATTCTGCTCTCTTAGATAATTACAGCACTGTTATTTTGTATATGCAGAGGTGTAACATGGATTTCTATGCTGTGTCCCTCTTCTAATCTGCAGGACTACAGAGATCAGGAATAGGAGTGCTCTGAACTACCTCAGTTTTCTTCTTCACTGCTCCTGGGCTAAATGGTTTCCCAATTACTTTGTATTGTCCCTTAGCATTAACACAGTCATTTTCTGCTTCTGTTTGCATTTTCACCTTATTTTTCAGTACAGCAAACCAATTCCTCGACTCTAAATTATCCTTTTTCTCAGCTCTACTTCTGCTGTTTGAGGGCACTGCTCCTGCGCGTCCTACCTGCTACCCCCGCTCGATCCACACTTCTACCCTTTATTTCAGCATAAATTCACAAACCTAGCCCTTTCACCATCCTCTCAGATCACCCCTATGATCTCAATTCGTGTTTGTACTTACTTCCCGAAACCTAGGACCTTCCCTTGTGTCACGTGACGAACAACCAGCTCCCAACAAGAACTCGCCTGAGGACAGAGTGAATACTCCACCAACAGGCTCTCAGCACCAGCTAATCCATAGCAACCCTCGGGAACCAGGACTGCTACTCCTGTTCACAGCACAGCAGCATTTCCCCAGGAGCTCAGCCCACAGTTGCTCTCGCTCGTCCCTTTTCTTTTTGGCCTTTGGAACATTATACGACTTCTTCTGAAGTTCATGCAATAAATCATGATGGGTAGTTTAGTGTAGATGTAAATACAGTTCTTCCAACTATATCCTGCACGCTGCTGCAACCTGAGCTGTGTTAGGATGGGGGCTGCCTCAGCTAATTCAACCTGCTCCAGTGGGTAGAGCTACAGTTGTCACATGGTGCTGCTCAGAGGAACAATTCACCAAGTGAAGTATCAGCCAAGAAAGCAGTCCAAGGAACTACACCCTCTCCTCTCCCTCGGAGGTCTGCCTTTCCCGTCTCCTAGAACATAACACCACCTCCAGACACAGATTCAGCAAGACTTGCATTATTTTTACTCAGACAATAGGAGTTAGGAGAAAACACCACAATAATCAGCGCTTAAATACCCAGCAGCTAAAATCCTTCAAAACATACTAACTTGGTTTATTCTTTCTCTGTACGAAATGCTGAATAATAAGGTGTATGACATCTACCACTTGGCTACAGAGCTTGTTTACATACTGTCCATGAAAACATGCACGAACAGAACCACAACGCCCTCATCTTGCTTGATGCTTGCTTGCCTCCCTGTGCTTTTCACTGAGTGACTCTGTCTGCAAATAAGCTTGGAAAGTTTCTCGTGCTTTTCACTGAGTGACTCTGCAAATAAGCTTGGAAAGTTTCTACACGTCCAACTCTGTCCAACCAAACTACGAGCCCTTCAGGGTGTCACATCACTGAGCATTCACCACCCCAAGACACGGCTCCTGCAGGAGACAGCAGCTTCCTCATAGCTGTCGAGGCACATGGACTCGCTCAGCCCCCAACAGCTGCACTGCAAGTGGACTGATGCCATGATCAGAAAGATTAATCTGGTTTTGCACATTATGTTTCTTAGAATAAATATCTGGCATCGATTCTCTCCGTTTTCTTGGCAGCAACAGGCAACACCACTGGGAAAATTAGAAGCAGCCATACACCACGCAAGTCTCGCGTCGTCAATTCTGAAAAACCGATTCCCAGCTGACACAATTCAAGCAGGTACGGTGTTTCCCCTGATTCAACAGGCCCTTCAGGAATTCTTCAGAGAGTCTTTCAGAGAATGGGATAACTCTCCTTTCTGAGGAAGAAACTTCAGTATATCCACAAAAATGGAATGAATTATCAAAAAATGTTTAGAGCTCCAATCTTCCCAGCAATACTGCAAAACAGCTTCTTAACTCTAGGAAATTGCAATTAGCCAAAGCTACTGGGAAAAAAAGAAAAAGAGCTGCTTAAAAAAAAGCACATTTTGTAGCATTTCCTCCAAGTCGAATGGTTCCAGCACATGTTGTTACTAGCTCTGCAATCACTTTATAAAGGTGCTCTGGGGTTGCCCGCTCGCCAATATGCAGGATTTCTCAGGTACAGGTCAAGAAGGGGGCAAGAAGGCAACGTACGAAAAGCCATCAGGCAAAGGGAAGTCACAAGGGATGGTGAAGACCATCGGACACACCTCAGTGTCAATACAGCAGGTGACCTACTCAGTAAAATCTGCTGTCTGTATTCACCCAGCAGTTTAACATCCTGAAAAAGGATGCAGGTACAAACAAAAGGAACCATAGAGCTAAACCAACTACACGGTTACTTCAGACATGTAATTGTATGTAGCATGTCTGTAACATGCACATAAAAGCAGCTTTTTTCTTTAGAAATTAAATACATGCAGTGCAATGAGCAAAAACCCGAAAGGTTTACAAATAAACCAGTAACAAAACTGACTAAAGTATGTCCAGTATGAAGAGTGAACTGGTGACCCACAACCAAGAAGGCAATCCGTCAGTACTGTGCTGCGCATCTCCAGTGCTGTTTAACAGGAGTTCTGCACCCAGAGGGGAACAAACCCACAACCCAAAATCAAAACAAAAAGCTATCCTGTTCTTTGCTTTCATTCTGACGAACCTCACGCCCAAAATCCCCCGCTGATCAAGCCAATTGGTGGTCTCTGTCTTTTTGCTCATGCCCCCCAAAGGTGCAAACCCCTACCAAAACAAAAACCAGTTTCCTTTATGTGCATGTTAACTTTCCCCAAAACAAAATTCAGGCTAATGTATGAATTAGACCCTGTTTTGGCAATGCAGTGCTAGCTGTCAATTTTTAAACTTATTTTATGCCTTGTTTCCTGGTCTTGGCTTTATTTGGTGGTTTGCGAACAACCTGCCATCCAGCATTCACACTACAGACATTACCACATGTATTCCAAATATTCGCTTCCTTTCTAGACAGACATTCATATCCGTAGAACATTACGGGGCAACTTCAGTGGATTTAGTTCAAGAGCAGAACTTTAGAAACCCCTTTTCATACAGTATTAAGAGCCTATTTACCCTCAAAAGGATTTTAGCTCGGAGTGAAGAAGTGTTCCCAAGAGCGGGTACGTACATTTGTACGACCAAGTAACAGAGCTTTGTAGATCCCAGCCAGCACAGCTTGAAAACTTCCAGGGAAGTTCAGCTTTTTGTAGGACCACTGATATTAGAAACTAATTATGCTTCTGAGCCTCAAGAGATGACATAGAGAGTTTTTTTTGAAGTATGTGTCTGCAAAATGCTACCTGAGGGCCCTGAAGCCAGAGCACTGGGACTCTTACACAGTGCGAGGTTAAAAACCGCCGCGTGTTAGCTAAAAGGCAGAGTGGGGAATTCAGTGGGAAAGGCAGCGCTGAAAGAAGAAACAGGCACTGACACACCAGCATTCCCAACTGCTCTTGTTGTCATACCTTACCTTATCAAAGGGAGGGTAATTAACAGGCTGTTTTGAATATTCTTGAAATCTAATGTGCAAAGCTGTTGCATTTTCAGCGTAAGGGTTAGTCTGGACAGTTCCCATTGGATTCAACATTTCTTCAAGTTCATCTGAAACACCAGACATAACATGCAATATTATAGGCCAGGCATGCATTGGAATGAAAAATCTGAAAGGCAGAGATGCTTACGGCATACAGCGGCCGGGCGCAGGTTTCGCTGCACGGCACCTGGACTGCCACGCACTGCGGTTCACCACATGCCCAGATGTTGGATCATCACCCAAAGAGAAACTGAGTTTCTCCAAGCAGAATCTTGTCCTTCCTGATACACAGTACTTCCAGGAAGGAGATTAGGATGTTACACACTTAACCACATAATAAATGCAAGCAGTAAAGAGGCTGTGACAGGAGAATTGGACATGCATGCTCTAAATATTCTGCTGGTTGATACTACTCCTCTTTAGTCTTGTGTTTCAAGTCCAAATCTTAGTTGTTCAACTTTACCAGGAAATGACGACCAGCTGTGCAGCACCACTTCTCCACTCTTCAGCTGTCCTTTATAATCAAACACCATGGTATTTACCCAGGCTACAGGATAATGCTGTTAAAGGGAAGAATTTTTACATGGAGACTACAATGCCAGTGCACATCACTACGCAGCAAGCACTAAAATACAGGTGAAGTGAGAGGGGTGGGTTTTACTTTAAAATTGGTGATACTTTTTCACAGAAACAGTTAAACACATGCATCACCTTCAGTATGTACTCCAGTACCAGGGAGGACAGTAGGAATTTTAAGGGTGTCGCTCTGCCAGTGCAAGAATACCGACTTCCCAAACGTGAGCCCTTCCCCGAGCATGAGCCTACCCATGGTAACTTTCCCATCTTTTCCCAACCACAACTCATTTAGAGTTCAGAACAGAACTGGCCTTTTCAAACACAATTCCTAAATAGCCATTTGCCAATGGGCTTACAACTGAAGTTTTCATGCCTGCTTCAGTGTCTGAAAAGTATAGAAGTTTTCTTCGTACCAAGATATGCAATTCTTAATGCATATGCTTGTTTAATGCTTTTTTCTCATCAGATTTCTGAATACTCACTTCAATACAATCCAAAGGTACGCTTACAAAAAACAAATTAAGCACTTACCACTTTTCCTGCTTTCCTAATGGTTTGGTATTTGGAAGGATTCATTGCCTTGGTTGACTTCTTAGTTTTCATCTTATCCATCACAGCATAAACCGCAAAGCACAGCCTGGCCATTCTTGGCAGATCGCAGACGTTTATTTCAAACTCCAGTACTTCATTCCAAACGTGGTCGCTTCTCCCAGATACTTCTGCGCTTACGATCGTTTTACAAAGGAGCTCTGTACCATGGAACAGACCAGCCCTCACATGAACCTGGAAAAAAGGAATGAGAAGTGTTGAGCTTGACACAGAACTTAGAAATATTGATGAAATGCATACAGGCATGTTCTGTGTAATATTCTATGCAGAATTCTATCTTAAAAGAAATACTAATTGTGAGGTTTTAAGATGAACCAAACAATTACTGAAAACACATTTGTTGTACTTTGCTATTCATATTCCTGGCCAAATTCAATTTGGTTTTGGATAAAAAATAATTCACCTCTGAATTCCCAACTGACACAGACAAGATCACTTCTGGGAGAGCCTATCCTTCCCTCCCTCAAAGAAACAACCGTGGGAGCAACACGGAAGCAGTCCCAGCCTCGATGTACCTCTTCTTGGCTACGCCAACTAGTGCTCAGTACTGACCTCCCCATCCATAACCAGCACAGATAAACTAGGCACTGGCAAACTGTATCACAGTTTAACTGAAGTCACGCTAGAGAGCAAACCTGTCTTCAGCCCAGAATAATCCCTGGAAAAGGCATCAGTAGCGCCTGTAACGGTATCCCAACACCACCAGTTCCGAGCATCCCGGACTCCTCCGAAACAATTGCTACCACCGCTGCAGAGGTGGCTGTCACAGCACAGGCACTGGCAGAGGTACTGGGTGTTGGAGAGCACACTGAGAGGGGTTACACTCCTCCTCGAAACAGGGGCCACAGGCACATCCAGCACTAAACTGACTCCTTGACTTACCTACATACAATGCCACTGCCAAGCTTACAGCCAGCCACGGCAAGGAGGAGTTCAGTTGAGAACACTACACTCGCTCGAGTCCCAGCGATACTCAAAGAGCCACTGTGGTGTGCACAGCTTCACGAACACCCATGAACCAGCTCGCCAGCAAATCCAAACGCATACAGCTTCCACGTGTGTGTACACACCTACGTGTAACCCTGTATGTGCGTACACACAATCACAATTCTTGATTACCGGGTTTTTTATTTCTCTGTAATTAAAGATTACAGCCTTATATTCCTCAAAAGGAAACACTGTGGCTGGTGTTAGAGAACTGATGAAAACTGGTTGGTTCATAACCTTCTTGAAACAAACCACCAGGTGGTCCTTTATTCATTCATTTGGAGATTCACTGTACATTCAACTGAACTTACAATCAAGCTCCTTTGCCGATTTAAAGATACGGAAATACGGAAAGGTATTTCCTTTTGGAAATATAACTACATCTAGTGTATTATCTGCTTGTGCTTTAACACTAGCAACAGTACATATTCTGAAATCTGCCTTTTTTTTTTTAAACCAGGTTTTTAAATTCACATTTGCATAATTTTGAGTATCACTCTTTGACTTGCTGCCATCTGATATTATAACTTTACATGCCACCCACCACACTTCCCTGATTTCACTTTATTAATATCAAAAGCATAAGCGATCGAGTAAAGTTGGTAGTAACAAAGCATTCTATTGCTGGAACAAATTGCTATTTTTCTTGCCTTTCGACTAGTTCTAATTGCATGTTTTCCACTCCTGCTAATGTAAGGGACTGGATCCCGATTTTATTCTTTCCATGCTGACACTCCCCCTTCACGAAGGAAACGGTATGTACCACTGGGGCAGCCGAAGAGCGAGACAAAAGGAAAAGCAACCCCCAATGCCACCTATTTGGAAAACTGGGTGTTAGGCAGCAGAATGGAGGCAGTTGTGCTCTAGGTGAAAGTACCCAGCCCCGCGCACACGAGCCGAGTGCTATCCAGCTGACAAACTGTTTGTTTCCCACTACAAACGCTGTGTTTATGAACCCTGTTGGTGGCTTCAGCAAAAATGGATGAATATTGGCCTGATCCAAAGCACAATGAAACTAAACAAACAATGGCAGTGAATTAAACAGCCTTAGAACCAGGACTAGAAAACAAACACGTTCTCAACAGCCACAATCCCGTAACAGCGCAGACAGACAATGCAGGGCAGGCACAAGCCTGCAAGGTTACACATGCCTTCTTGTTCTTGCGTAACTACGGGTCTTGAAAGTTTTTGAGACTAAAAAGCAATCAAAATATCTAAGTTATATCTATATTATCTAATTACCTAAATATGATTTAGATAGTGTCCACAGGCACCAACACCAAAGAACTGACAATTTTTCCTGTTTCTCCTCGAGCTTACAATCAACACAGATGCTTTTAGGGGAAAAAGAAAATAAAATTCACCAAAACCCCCTTTTTGTAAGCATGGGGGAAAAGAAAACCAAAACTTCGTAGCTGTGTTGCTTCTGGAATCCACCTTCTCTTTTCCCTTCCCTTTTCTTTTAAAAACTTCACGAGACTACAGAACGTAGAGTTAAGAAGATACTACAACTACCCAAAAATTGTGGTTTAGACAAAGGGAAACATCTAGTTTTGCAGCCACCCATTTCCACCGCCGGTGCGCCTCAGGTAGTCAAACTGTAACTCTGGCTCATGTAGCTGTGTAGTAACGTGTAGTGTCAACAAGCAGGTTGTAGCAATAGCTTTTGAAAGGAGTAAAAACCGCCCCGAGTATCCTGAAGAAAGCATCAGGCCAGCAAACTTCACTGGCTAATTGAATTTCTTCCTAACCTACGTAGCTGACTATATAATTTTTTGGTGGCCAAACAAAGAAAAGGAAGCTCATGTTGTTCTACCTGACAGGCACATGTCTTGTAAGGTCTTGCAGGAGTTGTGCACTACGTTTCCCATGTGCTGACAAACTGTGGTTGGTAAAACAGTCAGCAGCTCAGTCGTGTACGTGTTTACAGGAAGTGATACTACAGCGTTCTTTGTGCTCATGTTCAGAAAATAAAAGACAGATTGAACAGAAGCACACAGAACACATTCCGAACTACAAAAATACCTTGCGTTCCACTGAAAAGGTTTAGTGTTTACCCTGCTTTTGTCTGTCAGATGCTTACGACAGTTTGGCTTCAACAAGCTCATTCCAGCAGCACCAGGACTTCACAGACACCATCTTAAGAAATCCAATACCGTGTGGACGTTGACGTCATGCTGGCCACCACTGCTGATCATGGTCTAACGCACGCTCCCAATTTCAGCCAGGAACACAAGATTTCAACCAATACTCCCCATACAACTGAGAATAACCAAAACTGTTACACCTTTGCTGAATTGAAACCTGTATGATTTTGAGGTCACTAAACATTGAAAATCATTAAAATGATGGCCAGAACTTCTTCTGATACCAGGCATAGTTACTTACTTTGGCATTTTCTTCTGTATTTAGTTTATTGCCCTTTAACAGAATAACCTTGAAAGGGTTGGAGATATCCCACACACTCTGAGAAAGGAAACAAAGATGCAAATTCAATCTTAATGTAACATATTGAATCTATTTTACAAGCCAAGTACTTTAAGCAAGTCATAAATAAAAATTTACAGAGATGCATTTTTAAAAACATAAATTTGAAATCTGACAACATAAATTGAATATCATAACTACAAAAGCATACAAGATGCCCTAAAGGGACAGAAAGTTAGGAAAAACACTCAGCTGAAGGGGGGTGGGGGTGAGAGAAGACACGGAGTACTACTGGCTGACAATTCTCTGCAATTATCTGACAATTATCTGCTTGAGGGTAGGGAGGCT